ACATATTTTATGCTGTATAGGCAACATTAATAAATTGGCGGATACGATGTATCATGAATAAACACCCCACAATTTGAAAAAGCTCATAATTAGCAATTTTTTATAACCGAAAGCTACCCTTTTTGAGTATAAAATATAAAGGAGGCATAATTTGCTATCAAACAAGTACAAGACAATTTTTTCATGAATATCTTCTATAAAATATATTTGAGTTTATCAAGGCAGTCAAAATCGATTATAAAAGACATACTACTTAAGTAGCCAGTTCTTACAGTGTATACTTTTTGCTGGTAGTCAGAACGAAGCTCCTTAAAAAACCCGCATCCTATCATGACGAAATAGACTTCAGAAAAGACTACACGATAATCAGTATAACAATCTGAGTCAATACCGATTAGCGGAAGAGTATCAATCTTTCGCCAATGTCGAAATGTTGCGTGATCCGTGGCGTCTACTCTAGTCCTGTCTAAAGTCATTTCATTCACGGTAGGATGCCGGCTTTCTATCGAGCTTCTTTCTTGCCGCCTGCAAAACGTTTGTACTATAAAAGTGACTAATTAAGCAGTATGCCCTTTGATCATTAATTTTGACTGACTTTATAAATTCAAATATTTATGAGTTCAAATTCGCAACCGCGTAGATAATTGCCCACGCTGGCAGCAAGAGTGACAGAGAACCGTTTGAAGCCTGGACATCGGTTGACAACTCACTTAACCGATGTATTGAGTTAGCGTCCGCATATGTTGCCCTGCGGAGGTATCTCCAGGCTCATGGCACTGGCGGTTAAATGGTCCTCTCCCTCCCCTTATGACTATTTATTGACCCTTCTCCCTAAAAATCTTGCTTGTTTTCGTTGACAATTTTATTTATGTAAATATTCCCACCCAACACGTCGACCTCGCCTACATGCACAGACTGACATAGTCCACAGTGGCCAGTCGGCGTTCACATCATACAATTATTGATTTTATAAATGTTCAAACTTTAGTTATTTTACTCACACGCCAAAGCTAGCCCCAATTCGTTGCTGTTTCCCATCCCTGACGATGGACTTCTGTAGGACTTCGAAAGCTCAGACCAAGAAAACCATGATTCCAGTGTTTGACAAAGCTTTTTCTTCTCAAACTATACACGTTATTGGAATGCGAACCTTTGCTTCAACTGAATTTATTTCTCGCAGCCGCTTTAAATAACTGGTTCTGCATATAAATTGAACGTGAGCACGACTAATTTGCGCTGCGGACTATATTAACCTACCTCCAGGACGGTAAGGTGGACCTCTCTTAAGTTTCAGTAGACGACCTCCTAACCAATATTTCTATATTTTCAGTAATTTTAAGAAACTTGCACTTTGACAATCGGATTTTTCCGCAATACGTTAATCGATAATGCAGATTATGCAAATTTGCAGATATAAATAATCTACAATAAAATAAAAATGTGTATAGCAGTTATTAAATAATATTCCACCGCCTATGCTAATTCCCAATACATGAACTCCTATAATCACTGTTTCCGTAGGATAAGTTGTTGGGATTAGGGGTATATGAGGTGTACTATTTAAACTACTGTTGCCTTTAGTTCATATCCGTTTTTGTGGATTGCAAGAACAGCAGAATTTATTAAATCCATAAATTTCAAGAACGCTCACCAGCTGCTACCTGTTAGTGCATAACGTAAATTACGTAAGGGGAAATATAAAATTTAATTCATCCAGGAAAATCAACACAAACAATTCCTACCTTGCGTTATCTGGAGGCAACCTTTAAACGGCGGTCAAAACCAGACCTATGTAAACAGTTGGAGCATGTGGTTAATCAAGCTTTGCCCTGGTAAAATCCGGCTCCCAGATTTAAACAGTACCCTTCCCAACTTTTTTGCCTTGGGCGTTTTTTTCCCATTTTTGCTGCCCACAGTCTTTTACCTTTCTTACGCTAGCGATTAACCTCTTGGCCATTTCCTATGGCCTTGCTGTTTGTATCGGTTTTTCTGCATTAATTCAATTTTGTATTTTCTCCTACGTTATTTACGTTATGCAATGAGAGGTAGCAGTAAATGAGTGCTCCTGAAATTAATGGATCTAATAAATTATGCTGTTCTTGCAATCTACAAATTTTCACCTGGGAAACTTTGCTTCATATGTCCGTTTTGCTACCGGGAGTGTTACATGATCCAAGCAACAATATTCGTTTCACTAATGCAAATATCACTGTAAAATGTTCATAGAAAAAATGTTTTTCTTTATACCGTCACAGTTGAATGTATGCGTAAGGCAACTTGCCCATGACTTTTTTTCAGAATTTCCCACGACCGAAGTCGGTAAGGTTATAAATTAAATCACTGATGCGTATCCCTGGCGATAACCATCTCCACGCAAAGGTTGACCTCACAGGTTCTGTGCTCAAATTACTGCCGCATGGACGCGCAAAGTTTTCAAATAGTAAATCTTTGCCTTTGCTTTCCAGACAGGCTGACCTTTTGTTAATTCGCCATTTTCAGTTGCATTTTCCCCCAGATGGAACAGATGAAGTTTCTTCTGTCACTGCGGGAGTGGATGTTATGTCACTCAGCATTTAGACCGTGACTGTAAACGAGGACGCGAAAACTAAAAGCACAGCAGCTACCTTTTTATACTCAGAAACTGAATCGCTGCAAGATGGATTAGATTTGCCCAAAGTCTCGGACTTATACACGAAACCATCGCCATGGGTGGCGAAAAGAAGTGACTGCCAAGCCTCTGAGTGAGCAGTACTATCAGGATTCATTCAGAGTGATAATAGACACACGATAAACTGAACACTCATCATATAAAGTCGTACTTGGTGCAATTTGTGGTTGGTTGTCCACCTGTGAATCACCAACGTCCGTGATGTCATCACTGGAACTGCAATAACTAATCAATATATCTAAATAAAGGGACACTCGCTTGGGACACGCGCAAACCCTCAAAAAACCTGGAAGTTGTTTGTTGAAATGTACTCCGCGTTCAAGGGAACGGTCACTGCAGCGTTTGCAGTCGCAATTGTTTCCAGTCGACACAACTGTAAAAAGAAATGCGGCCTCGCGGGAGGGGGCGGGGGTCGAACTCACACAGCGCGGAAGGCTTTTTGCGCAGCCAACACTCTACCATTGAGCTACAAGGCTCACCGTGAGCCGCGAATTTAATCACACTTGAATCTATTTGTTCACCAAACCTACTGCTTGTATGAAATCTAACAGTATGGCTTCAGGATCCACCGGATGGACTTCTAGGCTAATCATAATTATTAAGGGTTTGACAGCTTGTCTCAATTGTGAAAACTCGCGGACTCAGTTGGAGTCGTGAGTCCGTCCGGTTGATCCAAGTCTAAAGCTACCATGCGCAACAGCTTAATAAAAACCAACGGCCAACGGACTCCCAAGGGGGTAGTTTATCGTATCCCATGTCTAAGCTCTCCTCGAAAATGAACTGGTGAAACTGGGCGTGCGCAAACATGAACATAAACCAAATGTGCAACGTGGTGACCACAGTATGATTACGAATTCGTGCACAGGTCCTGACGAAATTTGACTTGCTATTTTAGCGTATATCTAGTCACGTTATTTGATCCACCGGGTGGATTAAATTTTGAAAAAGCTCTTTATTTACGAAAAGTGCTCTTTTAATTAAGTTCGTGAAGGGTAGTGGGCATTAATGTTGGCTTATTCGGGGGTAGCTTATTCTCGAAGAAATTGCTTATGCTATTAAGTAGGACAGAACCATTTTTTTTATTAATAGGCATTATACTATGGCAAACCACCAAAATAAGTAAGAAACATGTAATACATATGCCTTCAAGAACCGGAAAATTTAGTCGAAATTCGCTCGAAAGCAGGTGAAGCCATCTTTAGGTAATCCCATTTATTTTCAAAAATAAGGAAAAATTTCAGATTTAAAAATTATTTTTTTGCTATCCTCTGAATATTTTGCCACAAAATTCAATCAAAGCAAAGTTCTAGTGTTATCATATCGATTGATTGGGACGTATGTATGTTATCATGAAGGTTATGTTGAACAGATCTTCTTAAATATAAGTCATATAGAAATAGGCTTTTCGTACACTACAGTTTCTGCTTATACGTCATTTAGAAACGGAATATATAGAAGAATAATAATAACACCAAAATCCTGTTGTATATATGACTACACCTTTTTGCCTGAGCACGCCTAGGACAGAGCTTGGAAGTAATCTTCTATGTCGAAAATAAACCAATACAAGGGAAAACGTGCGTTCCTTCATTTCCAGTCAAATTGAATCAGTTACCTTTAGGTAAATTAAAATATTTGCTAAATTCCCCATTTTCACTTTGAAATTGCCTTGGAAAAAGGTAACATGCACATAAGTTCTTCACTTTATATCTAATTAAAAGGCTTTTATAGAAGTAACCTGTTTTAGAAAGTTTTTTTTATTGATCTTAGATATAAGACTATCAGAATGGTGCTGCGGACGTTCTTTTTGCTCGACAATATGTTTTGTTGTTTGAAGGCATTTCTAATTGAGAAGAATACGATTTGATCGCTGGGTCAATACTTTTATTCGTCTGACGTTTCGACATCCGTCGCGGATTCATCCACAGAGATATTTACAGGAAACGGTAACAGACCCTTTTCTGCTACCGTCTTCTGCTACGCGGGATGCTTATGCGCTGACCATGGTGGCGCATATGGGACTCTGAAGAAGCAGGCGCGTTACTTTTCAGTCGGTTGATGCTCGGAACTACCCTCATCCTTTTCCGTCCCCGGGTTTCTTGACTTGGCCATGACACCGGAATCGGGCGACAGAGTAGGAGTAGGATTATGGTAGATGCAGCACAAGTCTAATCTTACTACGTGAATGCCCGACCGACTACTGGTCTTTCCTGTTCTGGCCAGTTGATCCTCGGATTTTATAAAAGAGAAGGAAAGTGATGGTCTGGCAACTTGAGCAGACATCTCTTGACTGCCTGTGTGGGTATGACGAGAGGTGAAGTCGGGGTTGGGAGTGTTAGGGGCCACCCTAACAGACACGCGAGCAGGGAGCTATAGCGAATCGCGCTCAGGCCAAGCTATCTATTCGCCTACACGCGGCGCACGTAGACGAACAATTCATCGATAATTTACAATTTAAATCTGTGGCCAGGGTAGGATTCTGACAAGCCAGCCGTTCAGTTGCAAGCCAATCGAGTCAAATCTCACCCGAGGACACTACCTGATTGATTCGATGGACATGGTCTGCTTTGCAGTGAACGTGGTCCCAGCATTTTTGTTTGAGGCACCTTTTCAGCGGCTACTTACGCGAGGACCTTACTACTGTTGCTTTGACAACCAACACGTCTTCTGAACTTCACTATGGATCAAGGTTTGGTGTGGCAAATGAGAAAACCCAAATTAGCCAGAACCGTTGTGGGAGGGTGAAAGGTGGCGCATGAGGATAAAGTCTAGCTCCCAGAAGCCTAAGGTCAGCGTTGGATGCCAGTCAGGGATAAGCCAGGAAGATCCCCTACCTGCACAAAGTAAGTAGAGCAACTTTATGATATTTAGTTGGTAACCGTCCTCCCCCCTAACCTACGCCTACAACGGCGTATAAAACCCTACAGGGTCACATCCAAACGCGTCGTACTCGAAGTTTATTGGATGATACCCTCTTTGAGTGTCGCCTGTCCGAACATCAAGAAAGAAAGAATACGCAGTATGGCGAGAGCTGCATGCAAATGTCATGACTATATTTAGCTTAGTAGTTTAGCAAATAGTTGGTCATGTTATTTTAATCCTCTGAATATATTTAATTCTGCGAAAGCCTTTTAGTTCGGAAAATCGCCCTTTGAATAATGCTTATTCAGGGTAATGTGCATTGATTTTGGCGAACTTAGCAGTCGTCTCATATTAAAGTAATTTCCTATGCTATTAAGTAGGATACAACCAAACTTTTTTATCTTATGCATTATTCTTTGAAAGAATTTCAAAATAAGATAAAAAGTTTACAACATATTTCTTCCAGGACAGGAAAATTTGGTTCTAAATTGTTCAGATACAAGTGAGGCCCACTTTAAAGGAACAAGGAACTATTAATGTCTAGCTAACCAGTGAAGATTCTTTCACAAAATGCAGTAACGAAAACGTTTGGACGCATTTTGTTTTGACACATCGCCAACATGACACATAAGCAAAATATCTAATATCTAAAACAGGCCTTATTAAGCGTAATTCGTATAGAAATATACTTCCTTGTACACTATACTTACTGTTTATGCCTTATTTCGAAAAGGAACAGGCAGACGTAAAATAATTATGGAAATATCTTATTATAAATATGGCCACGTTAGCAAGCTTAGATAAGAACCTAGAAGTTAACCATTATGATAAAAGATAATCCAATAATAGGATAAAATTGAGTTCTTTCATTTCTTGTAAAATACGATCATCCGTCTTCAGGTAAATTTTAAAAAATCGTCAAAAAATCTTCATTTCCATTTTGAAATTACCTTGGACGAAGTTTCTATGCACGGAAATTCGTCAGCTGAATATCTCATCAAAATGCTTTTCAAGGGAGCAGCCTATTGTAGAAAGTTTGTTTTAAACTTGGGAATAATAATATCATATTTATATTGCGCACGTTCTTTCTGCTCGATATTGTGATTTGCTGTTTTGAGACATTTCTTAATATGGTCCACAAGGTCATCTCCATAGGAACTAATACACATAAACTTACTTTTTCGGTAAATGCTCTTGATTTATATCTTATTTCAAAGGTTTTGCTGTAAACGTCGAAAGGAATCTTGATTGAAGGACGAAAGCCTGAAGGCACTGAAAACGCTGGAAAATATGCCGGATTTTAAAGGACAATATTAAATGAGTAGGTATCCATTAAGGATATTTTGCATCAATATTTTTGACGAAAGAAAATGCATGTTATATGAAGAAAGCGGTTGTGTTATATTTCCAGATTGAGAAAAGACGTACATTAACTTTTCTGTTTTATAGCTATTTTTACGTCTCCGAAAGTTGGGAATGATCGAGAAAATTTCATTTTCCTAACAAAAATTTAGTACGTCTTATACTTATGTTAAGTATTGAATGTGCCTTATGCTATTCATTATTATTTCTATGTTTTCCTAAATGCGTTCATGCCGGCATGCGAGTAAGTACCAAACTTTTACAAACTTGGGCGTTTTGCACGCAGCACTCGTCATACTTTTTACTCTCCAATGTTCAACCGCAATTCCTCCCTTCTCTTAAGTTACATCATTTGTAACAGTCAGTAATTTCGGTCAAAAATATATTTCAAAGTTTTAACACTACACTTCACCTGTCCTTAAGTCACCTGGTATATGTCCGTAGACATTTTTCGTTATCTGCCTATAAGGGTACACTGTGAGATTCAAAGTCCAGTGCACCATTTCAAGGAGAGTGACGATCTGCTGTTCTTTGCCAACAGAAGTGAATATGCAAGCTCCAGGTTTGGTGAGCTTTTTCGCACGTGAAGGATATATCGGAAGCGGTCAGCCTTTTGCTTACCCC